TTTGCATTAGTCATGGACGAATTGATTATATTCAGGAGGTCCAATGTGCATGTTATATGCTGATGATAGTATTAATTCATGAATCCAGAGAAGGATCAAATGTAAAATTAGATTTGTGGACAAATATCTTAGAAATGGGAGGTTTTAAAATAAGGACAAAACAGTAGAAATCACTGATTACAGTTTTAGATAAATTCCTTGTGAAGAGAAAGAAGAAGAAGGTGAAGAGTTTCAGCAGTAGAGAAGAAAAGGAGTGGGATGTCAACCAGAATTGAATTAGTTTTGGCCGTCAACCCCTCTTTGTATTATATACTCAACTTAAAAGAATAAGAGATTACTAGAATGCCCTTAGTAGGGCGGCTACTTAAGTAGCTGAACAGTCACAACTTAAGGCCCAATAACTAGAAATCGGCCCAACTCAACACTCCCCCGCAAGTTGGGAGTAAATGTCACACATTCCCAACTTGCGTAGATCATGCTCTAGCTTGTTCCTTGCAACACCTTTTGTGAGAACATCAGCAAGATGCAGATCAGAAGCAGTGTATGGGAGACAAACTTCCCTAGAAGTCACCCTTTCTCTGATGAAGTGTCTATCCACTTCAATGTGCTTTGTCCGGTCATGTTGAACTGGGTTATGGGCAATGTTAATTGCTGCCTGATTATCATAGTACAACATCATAGGTTCTTCTGCATTTACACACCTATCTCTCCTAACAAGGAACGAACCCAGAGAAGTTTTGAAACTCCATGTGCCATGGCCCTGTATTCTGCTTTTGCACTTGATCTTGCCACCACTGTCTGTTTCTTACTCTTCCATGAGACTAGGTTACCCCCAACCAGGGTGCAAACTCCTGAAGTAGATCTCCTGTCATCAAGGCATCCTACTCAATCAGCATCTGTATAAGCCTCTAGCTTCAATTGTCCATGATCAGGAAACAATATGCCTCTGCCTGGGTGTCCCTTCAAATAAGCAAGAATCCTGTCAACAGCCTCCCAATGCTGGACTCGTGGAGCATGCATGTATTGACTTACCACACTCACTGCATAGGAGATGTCTGGTCTTGTCATACACAAATATAGCAGCCGCCCCACAAGTCTCTGATATCTCCCAATGTCCTTTACCAGCTCACCTTCTGATGCATTAATTCTGTGATTCTGATCAATAGGAGTACTGATTGCCTTTGTTCCAAGCTTTCTTGTTTCTTGTAGAAGATCCAAAACATACTTCCTCTGAGAAATAAGAATTCCATGTTTTGATCTTGCAGCTTCAATGCCTAACAAGTACCTAAGCTCTCCAAGATCCTTAATTTCTGTTAGAATACACAAATCAGGGGTATTTTGGTCATTTGGGTTTATCTATTTGAGAGTGAAAGGTCTATTTTATTTAAGTTTAAGTTGTGTCCCATCACTTATGAGGGACAATATGGTCTTTCTTGTAACTATGTTATTGGAGATAAATACAAGTGGGTCGGCTAGAGGTGGACTGATTTTCCTTATCTAGTCGAACCCTTCTTCTTCTCCTCCTTCTTCTTCTTCTCTACTTTAACCTAGAATCGAATAGGGATTTTACAATTTCAAATTCTCTGTGTAAATTCCTCTTCAAACTATCAATCTCACTTAGGTCATTTCCTGTGACAACAATATCATCCACATAAACAATTAGGGCTGACACCAAGGATCCCCTCTGCTTCACAAACAAGGTATGGTCAGATTGAGTCTGAGTGTAGCCAAAAACAACCAAGGCCTTCCTGAACCTGTCAAACCATGCTCTGGGAAACTACTTTAAGCCATAAAGTGACTTCTTAAGTCTGCATACCTTTCCCTTTTCAGCATCGCTGTAGAAACCAACAGGAAGATCCATATACACTTCCTCTTGCAGATCTCCATTTAAAAAAGCATTCTTCACATCGAGTTGAAACAGGGGCCAAGAGTATGTGGCAGCAAGAGAAAGAAGTATCCGAATAGAAGTCATCTTTGCAACTGGTGCAAGGGTCTCTAAGTAATCAATGCCATAGGTCTGTGTGTACCCTCTTGCACAAGTGTGGCCTTATACCTTTCTATACTTCCATCTGCATTATATTTGACTGTGTAAACCCATCTGCAACCAACAGTTTCCTTGCCCTCTGGTAGATCCACAATCTCCCATGTCTGATTCTTAATTAAGGCTTCCATCTCTTCCTGCATAGTTGTCTTCCACTCAGGTTTGGAGAGAGCCTCACTGACACCCTTGGGTATAGACACAGAGTCAAGAGAGGAAAGGAAAGCACGGTAGGAAGGAGAAAGTCCATTGTAGGATAGATATTGTGAAATACAATGAGCAGTACACTTTCTCTTCCCTTTTCTGAGAGCAATAGGAAGGTCCAGGTTATCTGTAATGGGATTAGTAGAATTAATGGGAACTGAAACAGTAGTGGAATCAAGAGGATTACCTGAATCCGTGTAAGCTAAATCTGGAGTCTCAAGGAACCGACAGGAAGTGATGTGAGTTCTACTGCAATGGAATCAACCTCTTTGTGAAGTCTCTGTCGTGAGTAACGCTGAGAAGCAGGATGCAAGGGAGGTGGTAAGGTAGGTGACATAGGAAGATCAAACACAGGAGTGGACACAGGAATTGGAACTGGAAGAGGGATAGACTGCTCACTCACTTCCCGAAAGCACTCCCCCTGAGAAGGATTCTTTGAGAAGAAGGATGTGGACTCAAAAAAAGGTGACATCCATAGTAACATACCGACTCCTAGAGATTGAATCATAGCAGCAATACCCTTTCTGATTTAATGCATATCCAAGGAAGACACACTTCTTTGCCTTCGGATCAAGCTTCGAGCGATGAGGGCCAAGAATATGTGCAAAGGAAACACACCCAAATACCCTGAGAGGAATATGGAACATCTCCCCCTCAGGAAAAAGGAGGCTGAATGGGGTGCTGAATCCAAGTATACGGGAGGGCACCCTGTTATTCAAAAATACTGCTGTGAGAACTGCATCACACCAAAACCGAACTGGAACTGTAGATGTGATCATCATGCTTCTTGCAATCTCAACAATGTGTTTGTTCCTCTCTACAACACCATTTTGTTGTGGACTGTAGGAACAGTTGCTCTGATGAACGACACCATATTCTAACAGATACGAAGCAAGGTGTTTTTCAAAATATTCCCTGGCATTGTCCGATCTAAACACTTTTATTCGTATCCCAAACTGTGTTAGCACCATCTAATGAAATTGCCTTACCAAGGATGGTACCTCATCTCGAGATCTCATTAAGTAAATCCAAGAATATCGAGAAAAATCATCCACAAATAAGAGAAAATATCGATAACCACCCATAGAAGGAACATGATAAGGTCCCCACACATCAAAATGAATAACATCAAAAGGAGATGAACATCTTTTATTACTAGCTTTAAAGGAATGTCTACAATGTTTTCCAAGTTGACAACCTTCACACTCCAGACTTGACAAATTAACAGACTCAAAAAGCTTTGGAAACAAGAAACTCAAAGAAGAAAAAGACAAATGATCTTAACGACTATGCCAAAGCATAATCTGACTCACAAACCCCGACTCACTATCCCTGTTGACATGATGACCCTGATGAGGAGGAAGCACATCCAGGAGGTAGATTCCATTCACTTCACGACCACTTCCAATCGTCCTCTTTGAATCCAGATCCTGCAAGATACAATGACCAGGAGAAAAAATTACTGAACAGTTCAGGTTCTTAGTCAAGCTACTAACAGATAACAGGTTAGTACTCATCTGGGAACATGAAGGACAGAGGGAAGGGAAATGGAATCATTAATCTTGACAGACCCCTTCCCAACAATGGGAACATAAGATCCATCAGCTATGGAGATTTTGTCTCTGCCAGAACAGAGTTGGTAAGAAGAAAAGATAGTGGAACTATGGGTCATGTGCTCTGAGGCTCCAGAATCTATAAATCTAAGGAGGTCCCTCCTTGAAGTAGAAACATAATTTGTAGTGGCATGTGAACTACCTGTGTGATCAAAGGAAGTAGAGTGTGCTCCACCCGAACCAGCTGTACCTTGCTGTTCACCTGTTACTGAATTAGAATTGACTGTATCCTGCTGATTCAGGAATTGCCCATATTTCTCAAGTTTGGCCCTCACTGCGGCAGCTGCAACAGACTCCAGAGTAGTTGTAGTAGGAGGGGCTGGTATGTCATCAGTGACTACCATGTGAGCATTTCCCTTCTTGTTTTTGAGTCTATTCGGCACAAGATAAGGATGAAGCTTCCAACAAGTATCTCTTGTTTGTTTAGACTTCTTACAGTAGTCACAAATCAAATCCTTTTTGTCTTCCTTCTTGATTCCACTACCACCCCGATCTCCACTTTGTTTAGGTCTCACATTACTAACCATGGCTGATTGATCAAAAACAGAATTTTTCATCATCACATTTCTTCGTACCCAACCTTGACCCCTCCGGGGATAAAAGTTATCCTCCATCCCCGATTCCCAATAAAGATGGGTTTTCGGGGACCCAAATCCCTGAAAATTTTTAATGAACAGTATTATATATATATATAGAATTAGGAGTCCCTATTAATCCCCATCCCTGACCTGATCCCATTAGGTCGGGGAGACCAGGTACCTGACGGGGATGGGGAAATTTCAATCCCTATATGGAATGGCGGAATAGGATTGATGTATCCAACCCCATACAGTTGGGGAAAGACTTAGAATATGATGGTGTTGAACAAGAGTCTTTGTTGAATTCAGTTGACAAAGGAATTTCCTCATTAATTAATTGATATATGTTAAAAAAATGTTTTCTCCCACATCCAGAAAATAAAAAGAGGTGTCCCTAGTCTCAGGCCCATTCCAGCTCTAGAAGTCCATTCACCAATATTTGTTAGGTATCTATCCTTTTTAGGGATGTTAACCATATTCCTTTATAATTATCTTTGTTACAGAGGCCTTGGTTCTTGTTTCATTATTTCAATGAGTTGGTTTACAGGATTTACTTTGTATTTACAGAGCAGAGTTGGACCAGTTGAATGGTTGAAGCCATATACTGATGAGACAATCATTGAACTTGGCCAGAAAGGAGTGAAAAGTCTTCTTGCTGTTCCTATTAGGTTAGTTTTTATTGGCTTTGATATCTGTATCTTTCTGTTCTTCTTTAGGTTGTAACGCTAGTTATTTTGTATTTTTGTCATGTAAATCCAGTTATGCTGTTAGTTTACATAATTTTCAGTTTTGGTTATCTAATTGTAAATTTTTATTTTATGCATTTCATATTTTATTTCAGTTTTGTCAGTGAACACATTGAAACTCTTGAAGAAATTGATGTTGAGTACAAAGAATTGGCTTTAAAATCTGGTATAGAGAAATGGGGGCGTGTTCCAGCACTAGGTTGCGAGCCTACCTTCATTTCAGACTTGGCAGATGCTGTTATTGAAAGTTTACCATATGTTGGAGCAATGGCAGTCTCAAATCTTGAAGCTCGTCAAGTAAGCATCTTAAACTCTCAATTCATGGATCTGAAATGAAATACTTTATCTTAAAGATATATGTTTATGTATAGAAGGTGCAGAATGTATACTCGTGATTATGTCAGAATGCACAACCAAGAATATATTGAAAATGGACAATAATATCTTAAAGATGAATCCGTTAATGGGAGCAAATTTACAAGCAACTTCCCTTGTTAAACTTAATAGTGAGTATTGTCCAGTGAATCAATGTTTATCCTTAATAGCTGTGTTGATGAAGGTCTAACCTACTTCTACATGTTATTGAGAAAAGCTAAGTGGGTTATCAGGGATTTATCCCGCCTTCAATCTTTGTTTGGTCCTGATGGCTGGAATAAATCTCATAAGACCCTCTCACTATTGCCAAGTAATACTCCTGCCTTTTTAATGCAGGAGAACAGGTCTAGCAGATCTGTTCTAGTTATTTTTACAGCAAAAATCACCCAATCTGTTTGAGAAATTCAAGAGAATGATGAAAATAGAGTGAAAGAAAGAAAAGAAACAGCTTTCTTAAGCTTGGAAGTAATTGAATATCCTCTTTTTTTCTCCCCTTTGAACAGCAGCTAATAATGTTCTTATGTAGCGCTATTTAGGTCAGCAGCCAATAAAATCCTGAAATTACAAAAATACCCCTGTCCCAAAATAACCTTATCTAATAGCTATATACTCTGTGAGAGTTTCTAAGAATAACAATCCACTAGAAATCATTGACTGAGAAACAACCTAGGTGTTGGTTCGGCTGTTATTAGTGTTTAAGTTAGTCTTATTTGTGTCTTATGTTCTTAGTTATTGGGCCTTTAGTTATTGGGCCCAAACATGTTTAATGTTTTAATTGTTTTATTTGTCTAGGTGTCCCATCACTAATCAGGGGCATCCTAGTCTGTTCATGTAATTTTATTTTATAATCATCTATATAAACTTGTTGGGCCGGCTGAAGAGTTTATGCCACCTCTCTTAGACCTTCTTCTCTTCTTCTTCTCCCTCTTCTTCGACTGCTGTAATCCAGCAAGCATGGTATCAGAGCAAGGTTTGTTTGTCTGATTACAGCCGCCACCTTTTGACCCTTCTTTTTTCCTTTCTCTTTTCTGTCTTGGTCGCTGTGAAGAAACCCTAGGGCTGACCGTAGAGCACAGCAAGGTCTGTATCTAGGGTTTCCTTTGGTTGTAGGGCCCAATGGGAGTTTGTTCGAGAAATCGATGCCCTACTAGACACCATACAGCAGGTAGTAGCCATTCGGCTGCTAAGAGATATCTGTGTGGAACAGATCTAGGTGGAAGGGCTGACTTCGTCAGTCCTAGTTCGGTTCGTACAGTTGGTCACAGTCTACTACAGCAGAAATCAAAGTCCAGTCCAGTCCAGAAGAGTTCWGCACTGTACAGAAGTGGAGTGTTCTTGGTTTCAGTTCTGTTACAAGGGCTTTTCAGGCCTGCAACAGCTTCGGTAAGTCTGAAATTGTGCTCTTTGTACTGAGTTTTTCAATTGTGATCACTGTAAGAGGAAGGAGATGTCTTCAATATCTGGAGAAGTGTCTTCTAGGGATAATAGACCTAGTGGGAGGTCTCCTAATCTGGAAAATCCAAATCTGCACAGCTTGCAGATCACCAATGTACTGTTAGATGAATATAATTTCAGAGAATGGTCTGTTTCAGCCATGCTCTTCATTACTTCCCGGGATCTTACGGGTTATCTAGATGGACAGAAGAAGGAACCTGCAATGGGTAGTGCGGAGTATGCAGTATGGCGTAGGGAAAATGCTACTGTTATGTCCTGGCTGCTTGCTTCGATGACTTCAAGAGTGGCCAGGACTATTCAACACTTTCC